AAACAAAAAATGCTTGGCCCTCCCAAACAGTTCAATAATTTATGCTTGCCACCTCCCTATTGTCTATTTCATTGTTATGGACATTGCAGCCTAATGACTTGTGGAACAACGCTAAGCAAATACCTTGGCTTTGATGATGCCTTGTTATGGAACATAAAAGTTCCAAAAAAGGTTGATTGTATGTAAACTGAATGAGTGGAACTGGTATTACCCTTTAAAAACAAAGAAAATAAAAAAAATACTAAAACGAAATGATAAAAATTGCACACAATATACAAAAAAATAACACATTTTAAAAAATATACAAGAATAATCATTTAATAGTGGAATCTTTGCAAAATATAAGTTTCACAAAAACAAAACTGTAATAATGAAAAAGAAAAAGAAAAAGACAAGATAAATGCAAAAATAATTAGAAACAGAAAAGCAAAAGAAAAAATTAGAGAGGGGAGGGCTGGGTCGCAGGAAATGACTAACCCAAATATGTGGTCAGTCAAATATAAAACCCCAAAACAATTCACATAACAGACCAGGAAAAAAAGGAGCACAAATCTCAAATCAGAAATCTATAAGCCAAAAAATTGACTCACCCAAAATCATTTTTTAGACGACTTACCTGAATATAACAGTTATGCGACTTACATAAGGCTAGAATGAACTTTACGAAATCATCGTTCCTTCTCATTTTGGAAATAAGTGTTACGTCACTTACAAGCAAGGAAACAATAGATGTGGAAGGATTATTCATGCATGGAGAGCCTAGCAAATTCATGAGCAACAATGTTTGCTTCTCCCACGAACTGAAGTTGTGGTAACTCAGTGCTCTCTTCGTCTCAAAATTTCCTCAAAAAATAAAAAAAGATCACTGCGTCCACTAAAACAAATCCAGCTCCGTCCTTCAACGTCGAGATTACATCTAAACTTATCTGACGCCGCCGCCGCCACTCCGTCGGCCGTCGGCCGTCCCCAGCGCCGTCGCCAACCTGCTGCCCGTTCCTGCTCGAGACGACCGTCGCGACCCCCGCGGAAGCTCGGGGCGGCGCCGCCCGTTGCCGCCGATTTCGGGCGTTACCCCGCCCCTCCGCCGGCCAGAGTGCTTGCCGCCTCACTGCCATTGCCCCCCAAGGTCGATTAGCGGCAGCCCGGAGATGCTCTTGCGCGGCAGGCGGCAGCTACCAGGAGGAGACTGCGGCGACCGGTGCAAGCTCCACACCGGCAGCGCGACACCATCTCCGGATGGCGACCTTCTTGTCCGTAAGACCCGACACCCCTACCATTCCCTTATCTTCCTTCCCCTCTCACACTTTATGAATTTGTGGAGTGGGTTTGGGGATACTGGTCCACACGGTTCTTGATTCCTGGGCCAATCGAACACAGTTCTGGGTTGTGCTTCGAGTTCTCCAATTACAGAACTGGGCGGCGAGCTGGTTGGATTGGCGGGGATTTTTCCTGTACAAGAATGCGGTGTGCTTCAGCTGTCACCGTGCAAGTGTACTTGGCTGATGGCATTTCCCCTGTAACTCAATTCCAAAGAGATATGGATGTGCCACCTCCGGTGTTTTAACCAGATATTGTAGTGTGGTCAACAGGAAGCTGAGATGTATAGCCACTCTAGTTTTTTAGGTGTTTCTTGTTTAGTTTCAGAGCTCCAGCACAAGCTTTTTTGCATCTGAATTCCCATCGACAGGAAATACGCCTTTTTGATGGGTGAACTGGCTGTGGCATATAGCAGAGTTTCTGTGAATTTTAAATACTCAATCTTGCGAGTTGTATTTTGCCACTTGAGCTGGTTTTTGTCTGATTAGTGATGCATCAACATCTGAACTGCTATATATTCCGCACCCTTCAGTTTACCGTGCAGGCAATTCAGAGTAATCATTTTTGTTGCTTCCCTTTCCTAAAAGGCTGTAGGTAGTTGGAGCTACGGCAGTGCAAATCCTAAGATGATAATTTAGTTTGTGCTTGTATGTTTCCAGGTGATGATGCCAAAGTAGTGACAAACAAAGTACTATAAGCAGTACTAGTTGCACTTCGTTTAGCCCAGACTAAACTGGATGCATTAGATAGGAATATTATTTCTTAGCGACGACCCCCAACGCCCTTCCCAAATAGGCATAAGACTAGCTTGCAGGCATAATTAGACATATGAACAGAATTTGAGCATGTGCAATGCAGTCTTTTAACTTTCCCTTTTTAACTGATGAAGTCAATGAAATTGATGAAGAAATATAGTTGTTGCAGCGGCGCGAGCTTGGTGGCGACCGCTACAGATCACATCTCCGGATTACTATAAGCAAAGGTTGATCATGCAGGAGGTCAAGCTGGCCGTACCCAAGGGAGAATGTGACGCCCTCGACGCCACCATCCAAGAAGCTCGTCGACAACGGCATGGTTTAGATAAGACAGCCTATTTTAGCTATACTGAATTTAAGTCGGTCCTTGCTGTCCTAAAGATAGCTTATTTTATATGTACCAAATTTTAGCATGTACAGTGATGTTGCTTGCTACTCCCTCTGTCCCGTAATATAAGAACGTTTTTGGCACTAGTGTAGTGTAAAAAACGTTCTTATATTATGGGACAGAGGGAGTATTTGTTTCTAGTCGGGCAATGCCTTGTTTGATGCATTCTGTGTTGCTTGATTCCCTGTGAAGTAACCGAACAAGTCAAATTAAGATGCAGGGATCGGTGGGTTTTTGTGGGAAAGGGGTTGGTAGGGGTTGGGTGACATCAGGGGATCATCTGGTTCTCAGTATTTAGCAAAATGACATGATTATGCTATCGTAAATTGCACTACTAATGTAAAGAAAATGACAAGAGAACAAAGTAGAGAGAAAATGACAAGAAGATGCTGCTGTTCGGTGGTGCCATGAGTGGTGTATGCGCATCTGAAGCTAACCTTATCTTTTGATTCCCTTTGTCTTATTGTCTGTGTTGGTATGCAACGCAATGCATGATCAAGATTCCATTTATTTTTCTAACTTCTACTTCTGAAGACTTTGGTGACATGCTGACAAAAAAAGGAAACAGAACTTGGTGCCATCTGATCAAAATGATTGCTGCCGGGTTGTTATCTTAAGGCAATCTGGTAACATGGGATGAGAGGTTTCTTTCCAAGGTACTGATGGCATTCTAGAGCTCACCGGCCGGGAGTCTTGCTTGGACCTGCCATTGCTACCCCACTGCAAAGGCAGCAGAACTGCAGAACTAGGTAAGGAGTTCCTTTCTCCTTGATCCAGTGTTTTGAGGTTGCTAGGCATCAAAGCAACTTCCAGTGTCCTCCTTTTCAGATTCTCCAGCATATTTTCTCTTGATTTTTTTGGGGGTTTCATGGGCAGTGGTGGCACTTAATTTGTGAACGGGTTGAGTCTTGACTGTCGAAATTAGTGAAGACTAAAGAGCAAGCGAAGCTACTGTTTGTGTCTGAAACTATGTTAGCTCGGGATCTTAATATGTCCAGGTTTTCCATGGGTGGCTGCACCTGGAACTTGGATCACACAAGAGTTGAGATGACATTTGATTGAGTGGTGTGCTTCTATTCTAGGTGTAGCTTGAACTGCAGATGCAAGTCCAGTGATCTCACTTGGTTTAAATTCCATCCTAGTTTGCTTGTATACCGAATTTTGAATTTTTAACAAGCAATTTTACTAGAACAGATCAGTGGGCCCACCTGGCCGACGTATTTGCATCCTTAATTAACCATATACATCCTGATGTTTCGAGTCAGGGTTCTCATTTTTCTACACTTGTCAGCGCAATCTTGGCATGCCTAACATATTTGCCTCACTGCAGATTCAGGCTAGCCCAGTATACACTGTCTCCCTATTGTCAGACATGCAAGCCTCACGGTCTGCTTTGAAGAAAGAAAATCCGTTGGGAATGGATGTAATGTCATCTGAAGAATATGCTTCGCAGTCTAAGTTACTGCTAGAATTCACCAATGTCCCAAGCATTGAAAGTGCTTGGCTTTTCAAAACCAACAATGGTAGGACTGATATTCCTATCTGTACCTCGTTCACAATCATCATCTAGTTCTTCTTGATCAGGAGCTATATCAAAGCTGGTCTGATTAAAGCGTACCTCGCTTCATTATTGCAGAAGACAGATCCACAGCGATGTTTTCCATTAGTCAACCGGACCTGCTGGCGAACAACAAGAGGAAATATATTTTGCATTCTCATATTGTGACACATAAAACCATGCCCCTCGAGTGCCATTGGTCTCCTTTCCCTATTGAAATGACTGGAGTGTCGGTTGTTCCATCCCCTTCGGGGTCAAAGCTTCTCGTGGTGCGGAACGGGGAGAAAGGTTCGCGTACGAGACTTCAGATTGTTAATCAATCACATGTGGAGAAAGAGATACATGTTGACTGGTCTATCCATGGTCCACTTTATACCGATGAGTGGTAAATATACAGCATAAAGCCTGCATTTCCAGCCTCTTCACCCCTATATGTAACATATGACATTATGTTGTCGGTATACTGCAGGTTTCAAGGGATTTCCTGGAACCATGAAGAGACCTCCATAGCGTACATCGCCGAACAGCCACCTCAACCGAAACCAGCTTTCGACGATGCCGGATACAGAAAGGAAATCTCTTCTGAGGAAGACTGTAATAACTGGAGAGGACAGGGGGATTGGGAAGAGGACTGGGGTGAAACTTACTCCAGAAAGGGGAGACCCTCATTGTTTGTTCTTGATATTGCTAGGTCTCTTATATTAGCACACCTTCTAATGAATGTGTCAATTATCAATCCTTGATCCAACAGTATGGCTTACTAAACCAAGCATGTATTTATCTTTGGTGCATGCAGTGGAGAAGTACGTGCTGCTAGAGACGTCACAAAATCATTGAGTGTTGGTCAAGTTGTTTGGGCTCCACCATCTTCAAGCGGCCATCAGAAGCTTTTGGTCTTCGTGGGATGGTTAGAACACAACGGGTTTCAGAGCACCGCTAGAAAACTCGGCATCAAGTACTGTTCTAACAGGCCATGTTCTCTCTATGCAACTCATTCCCCTTTTGAAGAAGAACCAAATGCCGATAACGCGTCGGTTAGGTGAGCTCATGCTGTAACTCAGGAATTTTAGAGTATCTGCGTACTACTGTTTCGTTCAAATGGGACGAGAAAGTATAACCCTTAACTGCTATGTAATATATAATACATCCCTTTTGTTTTTCCAGTGGTAGCGAATCAGTATCTGCTTCAGTAGCAACCAACTTAACCCCAGGCATGAGCAGCGCTTTATTTCCACGGTTCAGGTAATGCCTGTATCAATAATACTCTTGCACCTTATTGAAGGATTTCAAACCCATAAGTTTCACTGAATATCTCATCTTTTCTGTCAACAGCAAGGATGGAAAACTCCTGGTGTTTCTATCTTCGAAACGTGCAGTAGATACTGGAGCACATAATGCCACAGATTCGCTGCATAGAATCAACTGGCCTTCTGATTGGAAAGCAGACCAACAACTCAGCGTGACCGATGTGGTATGGTAACATATATAATCTGCTTATCCCACTGTGATCTGTGCTCTGAACCATTTGAATTACGCCAGGTTCCTGTTGTAATGTGCCCCCAAGATGGATGTTTTCCTGGACTATACTGCTCATCCATGCTGTCTGATCCTTGGCTTTCTGATAATTGTACGATGGTATTAACATCTACTTGGAGAAGTACTGAAGTGATACTGTCAATAGATGTGTTAAGGTATAGTAAATAAATAAAAGTTGCCGGCATGCACCTTTTCCAGACCTTAAAGGATCACTTTTCATATGCACTTTTTTGTTTCATTTGGCAGTGGGGAAGTAACCAGAATAAGTCCAGAAGACTCAGGTTACTCATGGAGCGCCCTTGCAATAAATGGCAACAATGTCCTCTCTGGTAATCCTACTTGCAATCAGAGGCAGTGTGCTTATGCATATAATCTTCTTAGTTTAGTGCTAACAATATATGTCTCTCTTCTGACCGTGCTAGTGTCGAGCAGTCCCATCGACCCTCCTCAAATCAGGTATGGCCGTCGAGCGTCAACAGAGGATCATGGTACACGCGCATGGGTCTGGGACGAAGTTACGAGCCCGTTGACAGCAGCCAGTAACAAGGTTCCTTGCCGACTGCTGTAAATTTCTAAGTAGAAACATTTTCTTTGCTCAATAATTTACTCAAATATTCATTGCCTTTTTTCGCGTGCCGCAGATAAAGGCTTTGTTATCTCATCACAAGTTGAGCATACTCAGAGTCCCGGTCCCTAACCTCTCTGATGATCTCTCTGACGGTATTGCTTCAGCATGTAAACAAATGTTGTGAGCTATTATCATACCAATCCTTCACTAGATTATATGTACCTTTTCCTATCCTCAGGTGGTCGGCTTCCATTTGAGGCCATCTTTGTGTCCTGCGAGGATAGTTCACAGAAACCAACTGTTTTAATCCTTCATGGTGGCCCACACTCAACATCTGTATCAAGCTATTCGAAATCGTCGGCGTTTCTTGCGTCACTTGGGTTTAACCTGCTTATTGCAAATTATAGGTAAGTTTTATCTTGAAATTCTCTGCAATTCTGATAAATAATGACCAATGGGTGTTAGTGTGCCATCATCATCATCATCTTACTCATGCTTTTGTATACATAAAAAAGAGGTACCCTGGGTTACGGAGAGGAGGCTTTGCAATCACTCCCTGGGAAGGTTGGATCTCAGGTGGGTACTCTCCAATTGTGTTGTTGATGGTTGTCCACTTGTCCTTGTCCTCTCTCATTGTTAACAAAATCAAATAAATTTATGAACAGGATGTCCAAGATTGTCTTGCAGCACTAGACCACGTGATCAAGGAAGGGCTGGTGGATGCATCCAAAGTAGCAGTTGTCGGGATCTCGCACGGCGGCTTCTTGACAACCCATTTAATCGGCCAGGTGATCATCCTAGCAACCATGATACTGCCTGATACTTGGATTTTTTTTCTCTTCTTCTACTTAATTTTTCACTTTTTCTCCAGGCTCCTGAGAGATTTGCTGTGGCGGCGGCTCGAAACCCGGTCTGTAACCTGTCACTGATGATTGGCACCACAGACATCCCAGATTGGTGCTACGCCGTGGCCTGCGGGACTCAAGCGAGGCGTCTCGCCTCTGAATCACCTTCACCTGACCACCTTCAAATCTTCCACCAGAAATCACCGATTGCCCATATTTCAAAAGTATGCCCATCCTTCCTTCCTGCCCTGTAGTTGTAGTTGTCGGAACTGGAGCAACAAGACACAGTTAAAAACATGTTAGGGTAAACTCGATCGATTCTGATTCTGCAGGTGAAAGCGCCTTTGCTTATGCTTCTTGGAGGAGCAGATCTCCGGGTACCCGCTTCCAATGGCCTACAGGTACGCGCATCTATTGCTCTTGACATATATTTCTAGCATGTTACATCTGTCTAACAAACTTGTCAACAAATATGAAACACTCTTGTGGTCATACCTTATCTCCATGTTACTACTGGCCATTTCAGTATGCAAGGGCTCTGAGAGAAAGAGGAGGCGAGGTCAAAACCATCATGTTCCCAGAGGATACGCACGAAATCGATATGTAAGCCAGACTAAACTTGTTCCCCCTCCTATTTTGGGATTCTTGTCATCGTCGTTTCATCTTGGTTCGGGTTAATTCGGTCTGCAGACCGCGGTCGGACTTCGAGAGCTTCCTCAACATGGGAGTCTGGTTCAAGAAATATCTGAAACAGATCTGAGCCAGAGATTTCGAGGGCTTCCTCAACATAGCCAGATAACTTGAAAGGTTTTTTGAAGAAATGTTTTTTTTCTTTGTGAGGCGATCAAAGCATTTGAGAATCGACAATAGTAACAAATATTTCTCCTAAATAATGAGCCTAAAGAGAGTGATAATCTGGACTTGTTTCCAAGTACAGTATGCATTAATAGTAACACATCGCTGACCTGCAAGTCAGCGACTATCACACTTCTCAACAAGTGACCGTACGCAACGCGCCCAACATCTGTCTAGTTCTTGGTCGATGCAGCCTAGGAAAAGGTGAGACTGAATTCTGTTTGTGAACAAACCAATTAACGTTAGAAGTTTTTTTTTTCAAAAACCGACGATGTTTTCAATTTAAGCCCAGCTGATTGAGGATATCAGTATACTAACTTATAAGGTGCATAGAAAACAAATGAGGGCATCTTCAACGCAGATCATCAAATGCTCACAAACACGTCCAGCCGGGAGGGCACCGGTCATCCAACCATATCCATCAAATGTATGTCCATTATCCAATGGACAGAGGAGAGAGAAGGAAGAGAGAGTAAAAACTGGGTTTGTAATGAGGTTTGAGGCAGAGTTGGTTGTGCCCGGGCCATGTCCCAACTACCCTAGAACCCCCATGAGTTTGAGGACTGTTAATGGACACCCGCCCACACGTGTGGGTTCCGATAACTGCCACACGTGTGGCATAATGGACACCCGCCCACACGGCCCTGTGTGGCATATCCAGCAGGTTGCCCACACGGCCCTGTGTGGGCGAATATTACAATAGCCCACACGTGTGGCAGGAGGAGCATCCTACCACACGACTTGTTCAATACGAGGGATCGATTTCCTGCACGAATTCGTTTGTCAAGCTGAACCCACAGCCCCACACGCCTCGATCACACCAGGCCCTTTTCCATGTGAAAAAAAGAACAAAAAGCCCACTGACAACGAATTAAATGAAAAGGCCCAGATTTTGATTTTTTTTGTGACAAAAAAAGCCCAGATTTTGCTCAGCTACTGAAAAAGCAGAAAAATTGCCTATTCAAGTTCGACCAAACTATTTGCCATTATATTGTTTTTAACAATGGCAAAAGGTATATAAACACATATTTAATCCCCTCAAATGAAATATGGCAAATCTGCCATGAAAAAAGAATCAATATTGCCATGTGAAAAAAAACACAAATAGTTGAAAAATTCATGTGAAAAAAACACACAAAATTGTCAGGACACAAAAAGATAAAAATACAATGACAATTAGAATTGCAGTGTTTTCAAGGAGATTTTTTGCCGTGCGTGAGAAAAAACACAAAAGGTTGAAAAATCAAGTATGAGCAAAAGAGATTTGCCATGGCAGATTGGTATCAAAGAATTACCATGTTTTGTATGATGAATTTATCGTGTGTGAAAAAACATAAAAATTGGAGATTCAAGTATGAAACAAAGAAACTTGACATGGCAAATTCGTATCAAGAATTGCCGTGTATTTGTATGATGAATTTGCCATGTGTGAAAAAAATAAAAAGTTGAAAATCAAGTATGAACAAAAAAAATGCCATGACAGATTCATATCAAAACTCGCCACGAGAAATTCACGTAAGCTAAATTGGCCATGAACAAGAAAATTGGCATGGCAGATTCATATCGAAACTTGCCATGACAGAAAAAATCATGTAAACTAAATTACCATGATTTGAAAACTAAATTTGCCATGATCAATAAACTAAATTTTCCATGAAGCAATGAACTAAAATTTGCCATGATCAATAAACCAAATTTGTATCAAAACTGGCAGATTTGTATCAAGAGTGTTTGTGTATGATGAATTTGCCGTGTGTGTAAAAAACAAACAAAAGTTGAAAATAAAAAAAAATGAACAAGAAAATTGCCACGGCAGATTCGTACAAAAACTTGCCATGGCAAAATTCGTATCAGGAATTGTCATGTGTTTGAATGATGAATTTGCCGTGTGTGAAAAAAACACAAAAAAGTTGAAAATCAAGTATGAACAAGAAAAAATGTCGTGGCAGATTCGTATCAAAACTTGCCACGGCGAAATTCACTAGATTTGTCATGAACAAGAAAAATTGACATGGCAGATTCATATTGAAAATTGCCACGGCAGATTCATATGTAAACTAGATTGCCATGATTTGAAAACTAAATTTGCCATGATCAATAAGCTGAATTTGCCATGATTTGTAAACTAAATTTGCCATGAACCAATAAACTAAATTTTGCCATGATAAATAAACCAAATTTGCATCAGAACTTGGCATGGCAGATTTGTATCAAGAATTGCCATGTTTTGGTATGATGAATTTGCCGTGTGTGCAAAAAACACAAAAAGTTGAAAATCAAAAAAATATGAAGAAATTCGTAAACTAAATTTGCCACGGCAGATTCGTACCAAAACTTGCCATGGCAAATTCGTATCAAGAATTGCCGTGTGTTTGAATGATGAATTTGTCGTGTGTGGAAAAAGTTGAAAATGAAGTATGAACAAGAAAAAGTGCCATGGCAGATTCGTTTCAAAACTTGTCATAGAAAAAAATCACATAAATTAAAATTTGCCATGATTTGAAAACAAAAATTGCCATGACTAGTAAACTAAATTGACCATGGACCAAATAAACTAAATTTGACATGATCAAATAAAATCAGTTTTGCAGTGATCAATAAACTAAATTTGCCATGGCAATAAACTAAGGGTCCCGATAACTGCCACACGTGTGGCACCTAGGGGGTATGTGCCGCACGCCCCGTGTGGCATCGACACAGGCCCGCCCGCACGAGCACGTCCGGGCGCGCCCTGCCACAGCCCGCACGTTCGGTGTGCAGCGCGATCGCTCGCACGAGCACGTCCGAGCAAGCGACCACGCGGCCCGCACGACCCGTCTCGACCGTCGCACCTCCCCGCCTGTGAGCCACACGCCGCGCGTGGCAGTGCCCATGCATCCCGCGGCGATTGGCATGGTCCGGACCCCTCTTTCATGTTCGTTTAACTGCAGTTGTCATGTTGTTGAACTACAGTTGCCATGTCTGACAACTGCAGTTGCCATGGTTGCTCAACTGCAGTTGCCATCTCAGGTCAAAAGTGCCGGATGTCATTTTTTGGCAACTGCAGCAATTGCCATGTATGGTGTGGTCTACTATGATTGCCATGATTTGAAAACTTTAGGAGTTGCCACCTACTAACAATAGACAGTTGCCATGTAGCACTACAAAAACATGGCAAAAACATGTTCGGGTAAAAAGAGAGTTGCCATGTACCCTAGGGCAGTTGCCATGTACCCTGCAAAAACACATGGCAACTGATAGCTTTTGGTGTGTGGGAGAGGAGACGGCAGTTGCCATGTTCTGCTTACAAGCACACTAGGGCAGTTGCCATGTACCCTGCAAAAACACATGGCAACTAAGAGCTTTTGGTGTGTGGGAGAGGAGACGGCAGTTGCCATGTTCTGCTTACAAGCACACTAGGGCAGTTGCCATGTACCCTGCAAAAACACATGGCAACCTACTAACACTAGACAGTTGCCATGTAACGCAACAAACAGACGTGGCAATAAATAACACGTTCAGGTAAAAGAGAATTGCCATCTGCTTACAATAACAAATAGGGCAGTTGCCATGTACCCTTCAAAAACATGGCAAATGACAGCTTGGGTGTGGGGAGTGGGAGAATGGGCAGTCGTGGGAGACGGGGAACAGAAGTGGTGCGCGGCGTGCGGGGCGATAGCAGTTCCATCGCACACCCCGACTGGCGACCGTTGACTGCGGAGAAAAATCGGCGTGCGGGCGAACTCCCTCACACGCCACACGCACGAGTTGTCCTACGTGGCACACAAAAACTGCCTTTTCATGCCAAGATTCGTGCAAAAGGCGCTGGACGGCGATGGAGGCGTGTGGGCGAGTTGGCTAACGCCCACACGTGTGGGCGTTAGTGTTTTCGTAAACTAAATTTGCCATTATCAACAAACTAAATTTGTCGTGGTTAAGTAAGAAACAAAAGCATAAAAGATTGTCGTGAGCATGTTAAAAAAAACCTAAATTTGCCATGGCAGATAAACATGACATTTCTGCCATGGCAAACTTTGAAAAAATGGGTCACGTGAACAATTTCTAAACTTGCTATGTGATCAAGTGCAGAAATTGGCATGCTATGTACACATAGTGCGATAATTTTAAAAAACAAGCATGGCAAGAACATGAGAAAAGAATTGCCATGAATAGTTTACAGCTAACAGGAAAACTTACTTGCAATTGCCATAACAGAAAACATAGCTAAAAGAAGTTTGTACTAATTGAAGACGAACTTCAGTAATCGATTCAAATTTGCCATGGTCAGTACTACTCACACGACAATTAGAAAAAAAGCTAATAAAGTTCACCATGGTCAATGTAATAAAAATGCCATGTTTCATAAGGTAATTTGCCGTGCTAAATCCAATAAAATTGCAATGTCAAAGCATATTGCACAATGTATAGCATTTCAGTTTTCACTGAAAAAAGAGGCACGGGAAAACTACAAATGAATTTGGCATGGTCATATTGCCTTCTGGCCATTTGTGAATTTCGCATGGTCGGTGAAAGAATAATTTGCCATTGTCAGTATAAACAAAAGTGCCAAAAAAATAACAATAGAGATAGACATCATCTGAGCTTAACGGTTGTAGCCATGGGAATTGATGAACAACATCTGAGCTTAATCATGGTTGCCTTTTCATACAATTTTAATGTTGTGGGAGTAATTTCAAAAGGATAGTTGTGATGAAACATGGCAAAAATGACATAAAAAGTAACCATGGCTCAGTGGATGTAAGTTGCCACACACATATGATAGAATTTGCCATGTTTGTGAGTCAGAGGACCTAGACATCTACAAAGTGTGATTTATCAGAAAAATGTCATGCTACTGCTCTACCACACACCCAAGGATTGGCTAACACGAACAGTCCGCTACCCACGCTCTCCCCAGAACCAGAACCGCCGCCTCTGCCAGTCGCCGGAAACAAATGACGGATGGAGTC